CCAAATCTATCCCAGCCTGGGTTAGAGCTGGAGAAAGCCCAGCTGAAATAACTGGGACTTCAACTAAAAATCCAGGATATGGACTGTGCAGGTGTGTGTGAGAAGACAAGGGGTGACTGAGGACTGTGCACAGGCTCTGGGCCCCAAAAAGGACAGGGTATATTCCAAAACTTGCAGACTATTCCATTCTTGCAGAATTCCATCCCATTCTATATTTGCAGAACTATCCCATTCATGAGAAATTTAACAAGTTGCCCATCACAGCACCCTTGGCCCAAAATTTCGATGGTTCCTGAAATCAGTGAAAAGCAAACAAGCCATCCCAAGGGCTCACAGACACCCAGCCAAACTCAGGCACTTGAAACCTCAAATACCAACCTAGTCACTGAATAATAAAATAAAAACCTGAACAGAAAGCATCAGAAGGTTATCTTTTTATATTTGAGATTTAATTTTCTACAGAGAAATGTGTAATTGTCAAATTTCAAAGGTGTTCAACTACAATACCCAGAAATGTGTTTTTTTCCCATTATGGTGGCAAATATATGGTACTTCCTGGGATAGTATTTGAGTATTAACAGCTAATAGATATTAATATTTTTTTAATAAGCAGATTCCGACAGCCTGAAAGAAAAATGCTAAGTCAAGGTCTGTTTTGCTGGTGCTCATTTTTAATAATCTACTCAACTGAGGAAACACTGAAGACATGCACAAGTTCTGCCAATGACAAGGCAGGATGAACCTGAGAGCTGCCAACACCTGGGCATCGACCTGGGCACAGCTGTGGAGAAGCTGATAAAGAATTCTCCTAAAGGACTAAAGGATGGGACTATAACTGAAAAAAACAACTCGATGTTAAGGAATTACTATCAAACCAACCCATTCTTCCCGTGGTTTATCTTCTCCAAGTGCTCCTGTTACAGCCTGATTGCAAACTGACACTGCAGGCAGCTGCTGCTGTGTCTGCAAAGGGGTTTTGCCCTCAGCACCTGTACTTTCAGAGCAACCTGTTTCTCAGACTTCTCCTATTTTACCTTTAGATTGCCAGGCTTGTGCCTTCATTTTTTCTTAAAATTGTCTCTTCCTAATTCTGACACGCTCCAATATTCTGTGGCCAAACACACTGGCCCTTCTGCAATGTCTGATGAGCAGAATGCTGCATTTTGTCTGATGCCCTTAAAATATCCTTAAACAATCTCCAGCTCATCCAAAAGCATTTCATACGAGGTGCAGCAAAGAAAGTGTTGCAGAGCTACTAAAGGGAAGTAAACACAAAATGACTCCTCATGTCTGCAGGCAACAAAACCAGTGGGCCAGGCAAACAGTGAGGGAACCAGGGCAACCACCACGGTCTGGCCTGTATGGCAACCTGGCTGCACACCTTGTTCTCTGACACAGGCAAAGGCAAGTCATGACTGAGGGACACAGAGCACAGGACTGTGTCCTGGAAGAGCCATAACCCAGAGAATTTTATTTTAAGGTCATAGTGGTAAACAGCCTCACGTAAATTTGGTTTAAGTGGCAGCAAAGCAAGTGGGCAGTTGCAAAGAAATATTTTAATTGTCCTTGTGGCCACTGGTGAGATCAATAGCAGAGTATCCTCTCTCATCCTCGCTTCCTATTTTACAGGGGAACTGTGAAGGGGACAGAAAACAGCCACACAAATTCTAGTTGTGGGCTCACCTACACAGAGGGAGGGTCCTCTGCAGGCCAGGTGGTACTTGTGGATTTTGTAAACTGGAACCACAGAAATTCCCTCGTTACTGTGGACAAGGTAAAATACAACTGTCCACTGTGCACAGGTCAGAGCAAACCTTTCCCTCCAGCAGCAGTCAGAATGGAGAGTTTAAACCACCTTTCCTGCCCGGGATGGTGGAATTCACAGCCCTGGACCAGGTGTTTTCAGGTGGAATCTGCTTTAAGCCTGAGCTGCTGAACCAACAGCAGCTGCACATCTCCAAAGGAAGGGCCCTTGCTGCCCACAGCCCTGCCTTACCTCCTGGAACTCATTGAGGAAGGAGTGCTCGTACTCGCCCCGGCACCGCTGCTCCATCCTCTCCTCGATCATCCTGTGCAGGATGGTGGTGACAGCATCAGCACTCACCCTCTCCAGCAAGTTCAGCCGGCGCCTACGGACACAGTGACCCATCAGGAGCACGTGGGAGCAAAGGTACAAGCAAATGAAGAAAATCTAAAACCTGAGGGCACCTTCCCCCCTGTACACTCCACAGGTGAGGCCTTGGTTCACATGCTCTGATAGCCCACAGAGATGCACTAAATACGTAACACATGACACTACTGCTGTCCAATCTTCCTTACAAACGTTTTTCTCTCACCATCAAAAGCTTTTTAGAAGAGTTTCATAGAGGTTGGGGTAGAAAGGGACCTTAAGATCATCTAGTACAGCCCCCTGTCATAGGCAGGGACACTTTCTACCAGTTTGTTTCTTTGTGGTCAGAGGGCCTCAGAGCAAGAGCAAAATATTCTCATATCCAGGGAGAGGAACTTTCTGTCTAAAGATCTGCTCCAGTTCAACCACCACTTGGAAACCAGCTGTGTTAGGTTCTCTACCCAGTACCATGACACAGCCTGACCTCACACACAACTCCTCGGGTTCTCAGGGATCAGTAAACCTGCTGCTGCTCCCCATCCAGACCCTCCCTTGTTCCCAGTGACAGCCACCACCCCGTGACATACGTACAGGATGTCATTGAGCTGCTGAAACTGCTCCATGGCTTCGGGGCACCAGCACTGCTCCCTCTTGCTGCTGCAGCCCGGGCACAGCGAGCCCTCTCCCCCACCCTCCTCCGTGTCGCTCTCCTGCTCGGTCTCACTCATGCTGCTCTCACACTCGGTCGTTCCATCCTCTCCCTTCTTCCACTGCCGCATGTAGATCCTGAAAGTGCGGCTGTAGAACTGCTGGATCATTTCCTGGAAGGATTTGGTCGTGGTGAAGAAGAGGATGGCCTTGAACATGGTGTAGACCTTCTCTCGCAGCGTCTGAGCGCCTGTGCCCAGGAGCAGGCCCGCCTTGGTCCACTCCTCCAGGAGCTCCAGGCTGTTCAGGTAGGGCTCCAGGCGGCTCTTGAGCCGACTGAAGGCGTCCAGGAGGAGCGCGGCACACTGGGGCTCCTCGGCCGCGTTCTCATACTGGATGACGCACTTCCAGAACTCGGGGCCGATATTTGCCTGCAGGTCTGTCTGCAGCACCTCGATGAACCACTCCTCCACCACCGAGTGCAGGTCATAGCACTGCAGCACCTCCAGGGCCGCCCGGAGCTCCGCATCCTGCAGCGGCCCCGCAGCCTCGGGCCTCGGGGCTGCCTGGAAAGGAAAGGGCAGGGGGACACTGAATTCAGCATTTGATGGAACACACACACGGACTCTGCTGTCAAACAGCACCCGGTGGATGCCTGACAGGGTCTCAGCCCACTGCTGGAAGCCCAGTGCCCACCTCCCAGGGCTCACACCCGCACACATCCATCCATCATCCATCCATCCATCCATCCATCATCCATCCATCCATCCATCCATCCATCCATC